TTTTATTAAGAGATTACTTATTGGTTATTAGCTTCGATGAATAAATTAAAATTTTGATATTTATTAAAAAAATTTTGGCAGGAAATGTAAATAAAGATCATATAATTTAATTTTTAATAAAAAAATTTTTTTTAAAAAAATATTCAATACAATTAACTCTCTCTAAGTTAACTCTATAGCTTTAATCTTTTATTAATAGTAGTTTAATCCAACCTAACAGGTTCAAAATTTTAATATCGTATAGTTCCTAAATAATCTACTGCTAAAGTTTTTTCATCTATATTAAGGTTTTCATTGATAGTTTCATCTAAATTTTTAAAAACTATATTAGTACTGTAGTAGTACCATAGTATATAGTAAGCATTACTTTAATTCCTTCAACTATAATCTAATTTACTTGGTTGGTTATAACTCTGCTTGAATTTCAATAAATCTTCATTGGTAATAACTCTAAATAGTTTAGAATGTTAAATAACTTTGGTAAGTTTGTGGTTATACTTAAAAAAAAGCTTTCAAAGCAAGATAAAAAGTATATGTAAAGTAAAACAAAAGACCAACTTTAAGGGAGTGATTCTTCTCAACTTTGCAACTTATCTTACTTTAGACTTAAAAATAAGAAAGTGCATATTTAACTAAAGCGCTATTCATTATCTCGTGATTGTGGTTTCCTTTTAGGAAACCCCTGAAAAATCCATTTGAAGAGGGCCTGCCGTTGCAATTTACTATGAAAAATGGATCGATCATATGGATGTCGATCACTCAAATTTCATAGTAAAAAATTTACCCCTGTGATCTGCGTGTGACTGTTATTAAAAAAACATACAAATTATATATTAAACGCCAAATTTTAAAATGTATATAAACTTTAAAGTTTTGTAACTCAACAATTGGTTTTTATTCAAACTACAACTTTGTTAAATAGATTTTTATTTAATTTATAATTTTAAAAGTTATAACATATTTTATATTTAAAATAAATGTATTTGTAACAACATGTTACATGTCACAACCTTGCAGTTAGCCAATAATATTTAGTATTTAGCTTTTAGGTTACACACAAATTAAGGTATTTTATTGGCTCTACTAATAGTTGTGACATGTAACATGTTGTTACAATTAGATTCGTCCTTATATTTATATATAAATATTGGATGTGTTTTGCTGTCGTATTATAATACAAAAAATTTTAACTTAGGAGAGTCAATAAATTTGAATGTAATTTCGGGGTAAATTTTTTAATAACACAAAATCACCAAGTCCCTGAACCGTTGTTTTAGTTGAATATAAGCTATCACTATTATAATAACGCCACAAATAACACCAACAACAATACCAACTATTTGACAACCGAAAGAATACCTGAAGGAGGTGAATTAACTATAAAATCTGAAGCATTATATATACTAAGGGCCATAGGACCCCCACAAATTTGTGAATTATTACCTTCACAACTAGCACTACATTCTTCTATAGAAAGTCTGGTTAGACTTCTATAATAATTATCGCAAAAACATTGCGATCCTACCTGAGAATGATAATAAAAAGATTTAAATACTTTCTTGCAATTATTTGGACACGTTTTCACAATTAAAACAGGCAATGATTAAAGTTTGAATAATTAAATTGGATTTCTATATATTCAAATCATGATCATTGCATGTTTTTAAATGCATATTATAAAAATTTGTCATCCATACCTCGAGTCCCGCATACTTATATTTATTCTCTCCACAAAATTTTAAACACATTTCGATTGTCATCCCAGAAACTTCCTCTGATATACCATTTAAAATTCTTTGATTACAATAAGGACTTTCCTTATAACATCCTTTATATCTAACATCTTTATTAAGGTTAAGGTCATTAATTATTTCAAGCTTCTGACTGATGTTTATATTAGGTAGTCTGTAACTTGAAAAGGCATTTAATGCGTTATAAATTGTATAGCCATCTTTTCCACCACATATATAACTTGAATTACCGACGCATTTGATATTGCAAGTTGTATTTATTAACTTATCATTAGTTAATTTAATGTAAGCATCTAAACCAGTGTTATTACCACATCTACATTCATTTCCATTTTTTAGTGCTGCATATTTAAAAAGATACTCAGCACAATGAATTAAACAGAGTCCTGGGTCCATTAAAGTTTGATCCTGATCCTTGTATGGGTCAGGAAAATTTATGTTCGTAAGACCAGCTAGAGTATCTATACTAAAGTTGGTATTAAATGTATAGCAACCTAAAGGATCGATTGATGGATGAACTCTTCGTGTTAAATTTCCAACGCATTCTCCAGGATCAATTAATCTTTTGTAAAACATTATTCCATATGATTTGTGAAAAGTTGTACTTTCATAGAAAACAAGTTTAAATAGGCAAACCGATAAAATCGCAGAAATGACTAAAATTTTTGCGTTTTTCATTATTACTTTAAAATATATGAAAAGAACATAAAAGGACATAAAAGAACATGAAAAGAAAAAATGTATTATACGTACAAAGATATATTACAATGAATGTTGTAAAAACTCATAGTGAAACCTTTTCATTCTTTTACACTGTATAGTAATTCGCTTTAAGCTTCATTCACTATATACTTCGAAATAAATTTAATATAATCATTGGTAATTGTGATTACACTAATCAATATATATATACACTTATTTTTCCTATTTGTTGCAGGGGTAATGCAGAGTATTTATTGGGATTATCAAATTTGGAATGTGTGATCAATTATCGGATTTAGGTCTTGACACAGGCGAAGCACAAGGATGGCAAATGACCTGGTCATTGTTCAAAATTCAAATGACCCAAAGTCATATAAGAAGTTATCGAATTATATTACTTTCTTAATCGATTATCATAGCTAGCATGTTTGAAATGGATTTCTATCGATTTCCCGACAAAAACTTTCCCGACAATTCACTTACCGACAAATAGTTTATCATTTTCCCAACATTATCTATTTCCCGACAGTATCATTTTCCCGACAACACTGTTACAGTCAAGGGAGAGACTTAATATCAACCGTGCCAATTTAGCAGAGGACTGTAAGCATTAATTAGAAATGAACCAACTAATTTATTGTCACAAAAGGCACCAAAAGAGTTACAAACAAATATTCCTATGTAGTGTCCCAG